CTTCAAATATTTGTCACTGGATGTTCAGTCATTTTTTCCAATTTACAACAGTCTATCTCCGTGAATTGATCATGCTTCAAATATTTGTCACTGGATTTTCAGTTATTTTTTTCCACTTCACAACGGTCTACCTCCGTGAATTCGGCCTGCTTACAATATGTGTCCCTGGACATTACTAAATCAACAACCAATCAACTAATCGACCTTTTCCCCGAAGTTGGGAAAGAACGAAAACCTTCACAATTTGTATTAAAAAAAATTCAATCTCATCATAACTTTCAACTCCTCTAAAACAACACGTCCTATCTTAGCTTTGAAAGCATGTAAACATCGAATACATTTTTTCCATCTATCCCCCCCCCTCAATTTCTTTGGGGACGGACACATAAATCGCTCTTAGGTTATCTCACAATAATCTACATGCACATGTTTGTAACTGTGAAATACAAATCCTATACTGGAAGAATTCTTCGTATGGTAGAGATGCACAGAAACTAGAAAATTAATTATTTTGTACCTTAGAATATAGTACACTTTTGTATTGTAGTTTTTTTTTATTCTTCTGCTCCATTATATTTAATATTAAATTATGAAAATCATTTTTGTTTATTTATGATTTTGTTTATTTAGTTATAAATGATTGTACTGTTCTATTTATGGCACCATGATTTAATTACTATATCTATGTCTGTGTCTGTTTCTACTATTTTTTTTATTATTATTATTCCTGTTTAAAGCAGTAATGAAGCCACGAATTTACAGTTTGTTCTGTTAAGGGTGTTACACCAGTCTCCAATGTTATAGTATTATTGAACAGAAATATATGGAGTGAAGTGACAGTTACGGTCTATTATATATGACATTTGTCATTGCTTACTAACACGTACAGAAGGTAAATAAATATAATTACCTCCCTTGAATTATCGTTGATTTATTTATATCTAAATTCTAGTAACATTGTTTTCTATTTCCTGATAACAGTACTCAAAATATTTAAATATAGTAATTGTTTATAAAATTAACTTAGTTTACTCTTATCAAGTTGCAGTTTACATATATTTGCTGCAATTGTTCAAAGTTTATACTTGACATAATTCTAAGCTTAATACCACACTAAATTCGTTAATTCATCTGCTTAGTGTGAGTACTCAACCTAACCTTTTAGGTCATTTATTGAGCATGTGCTTCCTAAATCAGAAGCATCATGATAGAAGTGTCCACAGTAACAGAATGGATGTAGATTATTCAAAAGACACTTTGTCGCCGGTTGTAAAGAGAATTTTGACAATACATTATCTACAGCTGCTTACAGTAATAATAATCGTAATCACAATACTAAGTTGATTATCTATTGTTGCTGTTATATGCAGTGCAGTAACATATGGTAACTAACTAGTTTGCTACAAATATATGGATATGCTCTGTTCCAGTTTACAGGTTAATATATATATATTAAAAACATGTTATTTTAATTGTTAGTATGACTGGGTTTTATAATACAAAAAGGTAATTGGTACATGTACATCGAAACTTTTCTAAGGGAAAGTCTCTCTCTCTCTCTCTCTCTCTCTCTCTCTCTCTCTCTCTCTCTCTCTCTGCGCCTTCTAGTAAACATTTTGCATTACTAAAAAAATAATTGCTTATTAGTAGACAACACATTACGTCTAGGATGGAAAATGACCATATTTACAGTGTCTGTCGTAGCGGTACCGATGTTATCGCCAAAGGATCGGTTAATCTGCCATATGAGATAAGGCACTAACAATGGAACATTTATTTATTAGGAGAGGAGTGGGGATTCTGGGAGCAGATTTTTGTTTTAAGACTTTATTCAAAAAACATAAAGAATCAAGTGATTATCAATGACACTCACCTTACGAAATAATTTAGAATCAAAGTATTTAATTCCAACGCCCCCACCAAACAAACAATGAATTGTCGGTGCCTAAGCACGCAACGTAATCTGTATATCGAAAGGAAGTTTTAAACGTTGAAAATGTTTATTTCGGATACAGATAAGGGAAAATGTCACATTACACATTCAAAGGATTTTACTCCCTAGTAACATGAAATTAACAATGAAGTACATTCACCAATATATGTGAGCTTGTACGCCGAATAGACGACATTTAAGACTCGGAGTTGGAGTAACAAGCATAAGATAACAATTCTCCCTGTAGATTGGTAATTAGTGAGCTAGCACGTCAATAGTGGGACTTCATCAGCTTCTCGGTATAGTACTTAGATGGATAAGTTCATATGCCATAAACTAACAATTGTCGTAAATATGGTTTAGGGGCCAGCTGAAGGACGCCTCCGGGTGCGGGAGTTTCTCGCTGCATTGAAGACCCATTGGTGGCATTCGGCTGTTGTCTGCTCTATGGTCGGGTTGTTGTCTTTTTGACACATTCCCCATTTCCATTCTCAATTTTATGTAGTATTTGCAGCTGAAATTTTGAAGATATTGAAGCAAGCGAGTGGACGTTTTTTCTATAAGCATCTTCTGACGCTCGTAAACCTTGTAAATTTATACACATAAAATCAGCAGTGACCTAAAAGTGCGACAGACATCTAATATTGGATATAACAAATTATACACAAAAAGATCATTTTATTCAATTTTTAAGATGTTTGAGATAAGAGAGGTAACTCCGGTAGGAAATTTAACACATTTTACTACACGTTTCGTAACAAAACAGTCAAATAAGTTTTGGTTGAATCTATGTCCGTATGAAGAGATTACCATTCATCTATTTATTTCTAAAAAAAACATCGGAAAGAAGAAATAGATTTAGAAAAAGGAGATTCACTATAAACTGTGGAGGAACTCGGGTCTTCCTTCCTACTTCACTGGTAACATCAGCCGTGTTACTCCTAGTGAAATACGTTAATCATAGAAAAACAATCGGTTAACTTTTTTGAAGCATTATGCTATAGAAAAAGTCCAGATAACTGTCCATTCCTGGGAAATAATGGAGCAGAGGCCCGTAGGAATGGACAGTTATTTGGACTTTAATCTAACTTAAAATACACCTTAAATATTCAGAACGAATCTTCAGATTTTCAATGATTATAACATTTTAAAGAATTTTATTTCATTTTGTGATTGTTTTCTTTTCATTTTCCCTGTAATGTACCCAATAATCCACAGGCAAAATTTAAGATCAAGCTGACCATATACTCACTAAACGAAGTATTTATGAACAGTTGAATAATTACTATAAAAAGATCTTGAATAAAGTTCATCCAGATTTATGTTTTAAGTATATGTAAGAAAATGATAATCCCTTTCTTCATGATTAAGTAGACAATATTTTATTTTTTTATTTGAGTCTCACCTCGAGCGTTAGCGAGTATCATGATGTAAGGGATTATCATTCTCTTACAAACATAGAATATTGTAAAGTGCTCAAGGCTCAAATGATCCCTTAATTGGTTGTATATAAGAATTAGTTTTATTGTCAGTGCAATGTTTATATTAATTCATGACTTCTTTTTTAGGCATTTCATTTATGGATTAGTTGCAGTGATGTAAGGACTTTCTTATCATTTGGGAAATATTTTTAAAAAAATGCGTTATACATATTATGTGACACAACAGAACAAAGAAAATGAAGGAATTGTATATGTTTTCTGATTGTGAGTATGAATGTAAATCATGTAATATTTTAGTGAGGAATTATCCTTTTTTTTTAATTTACAGTTTAAATCAATTGATACATTTGAGTTACAACTAAATTTTATATAGCAGCCAATATTTTGGTCCGGCTTTTTACATTAAATACTATTTCATTATATCAGGGAAATGTTTTAATACCTTTAAAAGTTTTTAATATGTTAAAGACTTAAATTAAATTCCTCTTTTTTTCATCGAAATATTGGAAATAACTATTCTTCTAAACCGCTGATCCAGTGATCAAAGTTTTTGAAAGCTATAAAGATTAAGGGATTTTGTTTATTTTAAAGCTTTTTTTTTTCTTTTTCTGCAAAAGCTTTGATATTGTTTAAGTATTTAGTAATTTGAAGTTATTAATATTTTCATAACATTCCCGGTACCAATTCTACTGCACAGTAAACTTCAATTTATTTTGAGATTTTTTGTTTGTTTCACAATTCAACTTTTAGTCAGTTTCAATCACTGTGTGATAAATCCTTTCAATCGGATAAATGTAACTCATTTATAGAATCTCGTTGTTTTGAACTGTAAATAGACCCTCATAATAGGGTAATCCCTTACTAAGAACATGATTTACATTCATTCTTCACAATTAAGAGGCATCAAATCCTACAATTGGTCGAGAGCACTTTGCTATATTCTAAGTAAGTTTTCATCTTCATTCAATATCGCGTTACGCCCTCTAGAACTATTTCCATGGGTGAACACTTTTTAAGAAAGTGCATATGGAATACCCAAAGGGCAAAACGTCCGGATGAATGAAGATAGACAATAGAAAATAACTCTCAATTCCTGAAAAAAAATTGAGAGTCTGAACAAAAGATTTACGTCACAGATGTATTTTAATAAGTTGTTCTCGACCTGAGTATGCATTAACGATATCAAAAAAAATAAAATAAAAGGCACTGAAATTTTCGCAAAAAAAAACAACAACCAATCAATAAATCTTCCAGGAAGTATTATCTCATGAAATTCTCTATTGACCATCTTAATTACTTATTGTCTTTTTGCTCATTTTACGGACACGCGTTGCTCTTTGTCAGCTGTGACAAGATGTGCCTGTACAATAATAATAACCAGTAGAAGATTCTCTACGAAATATATCTACCACCAGGGTAATGACGATTATAATGACAACAAAAACAACGTTATACTGACAACAAAAACAACGTTATAATGACAACAAAAACAACGTTATACTGACAACAAAAACAACGTTATACTGACAACAAAAACAACGTTATATAATGACAACAAAAACCACGTTATACTGACAACAAAAACAAAGTTATACTGACAACATAAACAACGTTATAATGACAACAAAAACAACGTTATACTGACAACAAAAACTACTTAACAAAAGTTAATAGATATAATTCTACAATTAGAGCTTGATGAAGAGCCTTTAAAACTAATCATAACGAGGTAGTCTTTCTGCGGGTTTTGGTCTAGGTTTTTCTTTTAATGGATGAACTTTCCTCCTTTCATCATCTCTGTCACACCTGTAACAGAAAACTTGAAGTTAGAATTCCTTAATTTAGAATATTACCCTGTAGTGCACAAAGAGTAAAATATTAGCCACTGTTCGACATTACAATTTCGTTGTTCATTATTTTTCTTATGATAACCTATAGCGAATTTCGTGCTGATGGCAGATATTTGATCAATTGTTAAGTATCTGTATTAAAAGTTATTCACCTCTTCCCTGTATTGTAGGAGATATATTCACAAATTTTCTGTATTGTGGGAGATATAGAGCTTGACAAAATTGTAAGACAATAATCTTATTGTTGAAAACCGCATGATGACCTCTTGATTTTTATGCTGTCGGTTAACTGTCCAATTTGTTTTGTTATTTGTTGTCAATGAGACAGCAATCAATCAACACAAAAAAATATAAGACATTTATAGAGATACAGACAGCCTTCAACATACAGATTGTACTGATTTTTACAGTTTGTTCTTATGTTGTACTGTTACACAACTGACAAAGATTATGAAAGGATTGATTCCCCACAAGGATGTTATACCCCGCCACATTCACTATACGTTAGTCAATGCTGGTTGACTATTCGTTATTAGATCCTGGTTAACCATTCGTTATTCAATGCTAGTTGACTATACGTATACGTTATGCAATGCTGTTTGATTTTCGTTGTTCAATGCTGGTTAACTATTTGTAATTCAATGCTTGTCAACTATTCGTTATTCAATGCTGGTTGACTATTCGTTATTCAATGTTGGTTGACTATTTGTTATTCAATGATGGGTGACTATTCGTTATTAAATGCTGACTATTTATTCCATGTTGATTGACTATTCGTTATTCAATGTTGGGTGACCATTCATTATTCCATGCTTGTTGACTATTCGTTATTCAATACTGGTTGACTATAAGTTATTCAATGTTGGTTGACTATTCGTTTTTCAGTGCTAGTTGTTTATTCGTTAATCAATTCTGGTCGACTATTTGTTAATCAATGCTGGTTGACTATTCGTTATTCAATGTTGGTTGAATATACGTTATTTAACGCTGGTTGACTATTCGTTATTCAATGCTGGTTGACTATGCGTTAGTCAATGTTGATTGACTATTCGTTTTTCAATGCTGATTGACTATTTGTTAATTATTGTTGGTTGTTTATTCTTTTATCAATGCCGATTAACAATTCGTTATCCATAGGTGGTTGAATATTCGTTATTCAATGCTGGTTGACTATTCGTTATTCAATGCTAATTGACTATTCGTTAATTAATGCTGGTAGACTACCTTGTAGATAAAGTTACGCTTTTTTTAAGATTTATAATTAGCATTTAATTGCGAAAGATGATTATAGAATAACAGATCTAATATACGTACTTTCTCATTTGAAAAAAGAGTTATAGAAGTACTTACGTTCCCATGATGCACCAGAAACAACAGCAGCAGGTTAAAAGTAATGCTAAGGTTGCTATGGATAGGAACGCAATAGCCCAGGCTTTCACTGTAATATAACACGTGTAATAATAAATACAATACATTACACGCACTGCATAGGGTACATTGCTCAAAAGGGCAATAACTGTTAAATTCATGTTCACCGATTTGACTCAAATTCTCATATTCGACTTATAACATACTAAAACGTATATCCAAATAAAAAAAAGTCTAGAATAAACAATTTACGATGCATAAACTCGATAGTATGTATCAGCGTTTCGTGTGTATTTTAGTCTAGACGCATCTAATTAACCATCGAGGTGACCTTCTGAAGACTGCCGACGGTCATATAACCCGATATAAACATATAAACATAAACATAGATATAAATAGATAGCGAACTCGTGCAACTGGATTTTTCTAGGTCTGTTTGATTTCATATTATAGGTTAAAACAATATGTTAATAATCGTTTTTACCTGTATAAAAATGAGTTTTTGTAGATCGAATCAGTCAACCAAATGTTTTACCCTTGTTTCTCTTCTAATGTTGACATTCTTTTCCTTTTAATAGTTGAACATGCCTAGTTCATGCCTAACCAATCTCAAGATAAGGAGTTCAATTGAAGTTCACATGAATACGGATTTAATGAGGTCGAATTATTCACTTGCAAGTGGATTATTCATTAGCCATGTTTCTTTGCTTATTTTGACAAAACTGAGCCAATTTGGCTGCTAAAAGCGAATTATCATTATAATTTTCTCTGCACATGTCAAAGATTTTCATGGAATTTAGAATAGTCTATTGTATGTAAAAATATAGATTTAAATAAAAAAATGAAAGGTTGCAAGGTGTGTAGAATATTAATTATTGGAAACAGATGCAGTTTGTTTAATATAGAATGTTACAACATATATACAGGGAGTGTTTTTGTTCACTCAATTGTAATTTCCTTGGCAAATGGCATATGTAAAATAAAAGCAGGGACCCTTCTGTCAGCTATCCTGGACTACTTAAGATTTTGTATCCCAGCTGATTTAAGATTAATGATGTTTTATACATTTAAGTTAAAAAAAAGACTGAAAAAACTATTCTAAAACATAATATGAGTATGTATTTCTGACTTACTTTTGTTACACATTTTGCCTTTGAAAAACACCATACAATCACAACTAAAGTCATTGACCTTATCGGTACAGACTCCATACTCACATGGCTCATTTACACAGTTGTCTATATCTGTTGATATACATGTAAAGTTAATCAATTAATTAAACTTAAAATTGTAAAATAGATAATTCATTATGTTTCTATCATTCTGTATTTACTCTATATAAAAATAATGTGATTTTTATTTTCGAATGCAAATTTTCAATTGTTGAATTGTTTTTATTTACATGTGTGTCCAAATCTAGATCTCGCCATTTTCTCTGATCCAATTAAGGAACAGTCGCTGTTAGTTGTGTTAAAAGGTGTAAAGTGCTTTTGACTACCAACTTTTGAAATACTAGTATGCATTGCTCTTATTTTGTGCGAAGATTGAGTGCAAATAAATATGTTTTTTGGTTATCTCGTTTGAAGTGATTCGCATTTTTCATGTCGGGGCCTTTTATAGCCGGCTGTGCGGTTTGGGTTTTTCTCGTTGTTGAAGGACTTTGTGGATAGTGATCTAATTGGTAATCATACCACATCTCTTTATCTCCATTAACCCCGCCACATTCTGTGACAAGCAAGGAGCCTGTAATCTAAAGGACCTCAAATACTAATTATCGTATCTGTATAAAACGAGTAAATGTAAAATGAAATGTTTTTATTACTTTCTTACTGGTCAGAATGCTACTTTTATGACACTTAATATGTGTTCTTGGGCTGTTTTCTGCTCTTTGGTCGGGTTGTTGTCTCTTTGACACATTCCCCATTTCCATTCTCAATTTTATTCAAAGAAATTTACGGAGACAAAAGTGTTTGTTAATTAGCAAAGTAGAATATTTTGAAGCATTAATTCACCTGTTTCACAGTTTGGTCCTTGATATCCAGGAGAACAAACACAGATATACTGATGATTTGTCTGCATACACGTTCCATGCTGACAGGTTATCAAACAACCTGAAGCTTGTTTGGTTGTACTGGTCGCTGAGGTGGTCATCGTACTTTTTAGTTTGGACGTTTTAGCTGGAGTAGTTGCTGGTGTTTTTGTTAAGGTGGTTGTAGTTGTTAAAATAGCAACCGTTGTAAGTTTAGTCGTTGAAGTCGTTGGAGAAGTGGCAATTCTTTTTGGAGTAGGAGTCGTTGTTGTTGGAATAGTGGTCGTAGTTGTTAGGTTTGGAGTTGTTGTTGTTGTTGGAATCGAAGTCTTAGTTGTTAATGTTGTGGTTGCTGTAGTAGTTGATGAGGTGGTCGTTGTTGTTGGTTTTGTTGTCGTATATGGAACAGTTGTTGTTGTAAGTGTTGTTTTCATCGTTGATGGTTTTGTTGTCGTAGATGGAACAGTTGTTGTAGTAAGTGTTCTTTTCATCGTTGTTGGTTTTGTTGTAGTAGTTGGAGTAATTGTTGTTGTAAGTTTTGTTTTCGTCGTTGTTGGTTTTGTTGTCGTAGATGGAACAGTTGTTGTTGTAAGTGTTGTTTTCATCGTTGTTGGTTTTGTTGTAGTAGTTGGAGTAATTGTTGTTGTAAGTTTTGTTTTCGTCGTTGTTGGTTTTGTTGTCGTATATGGAACAGTTGTTGTTGTAAGTGTTGTTTTTATCGTTGTTGGTTTTGTTGTAGTAGTTGGAGTAATTGTTGTTGTAAGTTTTGTTTTCGTCGTTGTTGGTTTTGTTGTCGTAGATGGAACAGTTGTTGTTGTAAGTGTTGTTTTCATCGTTGTTGCTTTTGTTGTAGTAGTTGGAGTAGTTGTTGTTGTAAGTGTTGTTTTCATCGTTGTTGGTTTTGTTGTAGTAGTTGGAGTAGTTGGAATGGTTGTTGTAGTTTTAATGGTTGTTGGTATTCTGTCTTAAAAAATAGAAGTATGATTTTTTAGAGGTTATATTTGGTATACAACAAGTGTTTAAATGAAATGCATTTTTATTGAATTACTTTTAATTTGATAAACTAAAAACAAAACTTTACCAACATCGGTTTTTTAAATGTAAAAAACAAAGAAACAAACTCATGACATGGGACAAGCACTTGAAAAATTCTTGAAGGTCAGTTTGTATACTTTTTCTCCGTTATGTAACATTACTATATATCAATAGATGTGAAATGCCATTTTTGATTAAATTATTCAAATAGAATTACTTCCATAGTAAACCCCATATCTTATAATACCATTGAATAGAGTAATGACGATTACCTTAAGAAATCATCCATTATGCCTTATCCGCAACATGTTTCCAAAAAAAGATCAAATTAACACCCGTTTTAGTCAAAAAAAAATAAAATGATGTGGTTTGATTGATGATGAGGCATTCGCGGTCATGAAAATTTCGAGCACGATTATTGTACTCAGACTCAGAAATCAACCAATCAAAATACAAATTTTGTACTACGAGCACTGAGTAAAGTTTTATGACCGAGAGCTTGGGAAAATGTGGAAAGTTTAGGGGAATAATTGAATTTGTGGATACAGAAAACAAAATATTAATTTTATAGAATATATTGTCTAATTATCAACAATAATTGCAATGTTTAACATGTTTTTGAAGACATACCGCTAAAGGGAGCCTAAGGGACATCACTGTAAACAAAAAAAAAGAGAAATAAAAATTAGAGAATAATCGTCTCTTTTGTCTTTAATATCAATTAGTATAGAGTTTAGTTTTTTTTTCGTGAAGCTTCGCTAAACTATAACTTAAAAGTCAACGTAGCGTGGCAAGGAAGACCACTGTTTCGGAGTTTGTGTCTGTGCTTGGACATTGTGGTACTCGATCAAGTAAGAGCAGCTAAAAGAAGTAAAATCAAGCATATAATCGGCGCAATTCTAGGAAAAAATTAAAAGTTTCTCGATGATTTTGTCGTGTATGGAAAACATTTAACAATTGATTTTCCCCCAAATTGCACGGATTGTAAGCTTAATTTTACTTCTTTTAGTTGCTCTTACTTGACCGAGTACCTTATGTCCTACCACAGATTAGGTAATCTGTCGGAAAATTTCATAATCCGCAGTCATAATTCGGTAATATGAAAATAGACTATTTGTCATTGTCAAATAATATCGATTGATGATTATCAGTACACAAAAATCTATATAGCAATGTGAGCCCCAACCATATATTTTAGCAAGCGAGTAGATTTTTCTTTAAGATCATGTAAAGGGTTCAACAGTTAGAATGGTTGTTTTTTAATTAACCCGTTTGCACAATTTGAAAATATAAAATCCTGTGGGATTTGTAAAATAATTGATGTTAAAGTGTTAAGTCACATTTTTCGCTTTTTTTTTTTCAAGTTAACAGTCTTTCCCATAACAATGATAAATTACTTTTCATAAACTCTTGTTTATTGACATTCATGTAGCAGGGAAGTTTCAACGAAAAGGTAAATTCCGCTGATCATAGATATAGTAGCGAAAAATGAAGCAATTACATTTGTTTCATGGCTACATCAATGACTATTAGGAATGTAGGACAACAGACTTATTTGATGGTGAAAATACACCAGTTTAACAATCTTCACAAATATTTGTTTAAAAAGTGAGAGAGAAAAAATCGTGTCAGACATGTTTTAGATACTAGTTGACAAGTCACAGTCTTAATGAAACAGTCATATCAAAATAATCTTTTCAAAATGTTTTATAAAATTGCCATGTACAATATGGTTTAATCTACATTTACTTTTTCTAATACCACTACCAAATCAGGTCATTTCACGACGAGGAGACAACCACAAGACAATGTATCAATTAAGATGTTGCCTCGTCCAGTATGTCTATATCAGTCTTAATGTTCCATGATAATATTAGTACAATCATCGGATACAATTTATGTTGTAAGTCCCAGACCAAACCGTGAATAATGGGCAATTTTAATCAAGTTCGTAATAAGATGAAAATAAGTTTTAGGGCAATGATATTTTAAAAGTTTACAACGATTTAAACTGAGCAATCAGTAGAAACTAATGAAAAACTAGCAATTATATAACGTTTTCTAAAAGTCTCAATGATGAATTTCTTTTCATACATGTACCCTTGTAAGCATCAAATTGAGATTCCAACAATTTTGTCACTAAACTCACCTTTACAGCATCGTCCACCATAACTACTTTTACACATACAACGATTTAGTGTGGGATTAAAAACTCCATGGTTCTTGCATTTCCCGCATACTCTTTCTTCTGTGGCGTTTGTTTTCCACAAGCTTAAAGGAATACCACAGCTTTGTAAGCAGTCCATCAATGTACTGTATTGACAACATATATATCGTTGTCTCACTTGTTTACCTCCTCCACATGTTGCAGTACAGTTCCCCCATGGACCCCAATTCTCAACATCACAATACCGGGAACTAGTTGACATACACGCACCACAGAAACCATGCAAAGAGTAAAATATGAAAATAAAAAAACAGACACAAATCGAATATCTCATTCTTCTGTTTTTATTATAATGTAAAATGGAATATTACTATGTTCGCTATCCTGTCGGATTGTAATTATTGACAAGATTTGTGATTTATATTTTTATGATATTTGTTTACAAATCCGACAAACAATTGTCACCTTAATAAATGTAAGGTCCGAAGATGATAATCTAAATAGTTACCAGATATCTACATAGATGTGTCAATCACAATCACTTTTGATCGGTAAAAGTGAACATTCAGCACGAACAGATTTTATATTGACCAAATAATTGGCAAATGTCTCATGAGAAAAAATCGACACACTCTATTATTTCACATTAGCAAATTGAAATTAATTCCAAGGACAGTAAACATAAGATGTACAGTAGTTTTGCATTTTAATTGATGTTTCCCGACCCAACCAAAGTACATAAACCAATGAATTCAACTCGAAATATTTATTTTCAATGTTTAGCATTTATTGGACCAAACCATTGCTGGCTTTTTATCATCAGTTTGTACGATCTATCCATTAGTTGACATTAGGTTTTGAACAATCTTTCAGTTACTGTGGTTACTCTTAGGTGGGTTATTTGTGTCTTTAGTATTTTTATCATTTTGTGCTTGGTAGCTATGAGATTAGTGATTTCCTCTCAAACTGATTGTATTATATATGAAAATAAGAAGGTTCGGTATGATTGCTAATGAGAATTTAACAACTATAGGTCACCGTACGGCCTTCAACAATGAGCAAAATCCACACCGCATAGTCAGCTATAAAATACCCCGAAATAACAAATGTAAAACAATTCAAGCGAAAAACTAACGGCCTGCAGCCGGTTGTACGAACGTGTCATTAGTCTAATGAGTCATTAAGTCATCATTAGCCTAATGCATCATAAAGGCTTAATGAAGACTTAATGACCCATTAGGCTAATGGCACGTTCGAAGAACCGGCTGCTGATTTATATCAAAACAATGAACGAAAAACAAATATGATACTAAGTATACAGCAACAAACGACAACCACTGAATTACAAGCTCCTGACTTGGGACCGGCAGATACATAATGTGGCGGGCTTAAACTAGTTTAAAACGGCGCCAAACTTTTCTCCTTACCTGGGACAGTAGTGCAACGGTACAACATAAGAACAAACTATATAAATCCGTTGACAAGGGATTAACTCATCAGATCGATACGAGGCAGAAAACATCTAACAAAAACACAGACCGGACGTGGCAGGGTATTTATACATCCCACAACAAAAAAGACACTAAGTACAGATCTGATCATACTCGCAGTTACTGACAGCTAGTTAAAGCCAATAACAACTAATAAAAAAAATCATGCATCTAAGATATATATCAATCAGTACACATCCAAGATCCAATAAATTTAGTGTAAAGACGTCATTAACAGCCAGAGAAAAACATGGCTTTGTACGATGCCAAATTCAGGTATCGACAGATGAATTTATCCGGATCGTTATAAATTTCCGGGCTCGGTCAACAACATTTCCGTAAAAAAATAATATGTGCTATTCCGTTTGAATTAAGTTTACTACAGGTACAGTCAAACTTCCACAGCAAATATTTGTATCTATGGAAAAATTTAGTAAAAGTTTTATGTACTTTAATAATTTGTAGTAACGAAATCCCTGACTTAATAATTTACCAGTAATACATATAATACGTTCATTGAAGTCCAAAACGTCACTAATAACATAAAAATTTTGGAATGCCTCTGCAAATCAAAATAACGGAATCGTATGAAAATTTTACATTGAAATCGTGTTGCGGGTAAGTCTATTTGGATTTAGACAACTAAACCTTAAAGTACCGGGTGTAAATTGCAGGTCAAAAACAAAATATGTACATTGTCAGAAACATAAAATTTATGTGTACTCGCTACGAAACAATAGAAAAGCTCGGCCGAGCCTCGCTTTACGTCCTGTTTCTAAAGCTCGTACAAATGATTTTTATATTTTCCGGCATTTATTTACTAGAGACCACATGACGTAGACGTAAGTACCTGAAGGTCACCATAAAGTAACAATGAGCTAAACCAATACCGTATTTCCAACTTCTAAAAGCTCCGAGAGGACAAATGTGAAAGAATTTGAAATTGATTGTGATTGAGAACTGTCATTCACTAATGCATAATCACCTAATATAACAAGTACAAATGCCATGATTGAAATACGACGTTAATATAAAAAAAAAAAGATGTGGTATGATTGCCAATGAGACAACTCTCCACAAGAGACCAAATGACACAGAAATTAACAACTATAGGTCACCGTACGGCCTTCAACAATTAACA